TGCAGAGGACTGTCTAAATATATAGTATATTTATGAAGTTAAAGACTGTAGTTGGTAATAAACTATATTAAGAGGACATCTCTTAGTTTTATAACCAGAAAAATAAAGCCAATAAAAAGATGCGGTATGCATTTATAGCATCAAAAAATGTATGCTATAAAATGTGATAAAAATGGTAATGTGATAGTAGTAGTAATAATAAACATAAATATATAAAATATTATGTAAATATATAAAAGTAATAGTAAACATGAAAATATAAGGTAACACTTCTTTTGGGTGGATCAGTACGGGTTCAGTCAGGAAAACAGATGTATCTGGGTCATATAGGGTTTAAAACAAACCAGTTTATGGGATGGTGAGTTAGAAGGTGGGACACAGAGGCCAGGGAAATGCTGCTGAAGGTTGTGGGGCTGTCGCCAAAGGCAGGAGGAGCTGACCCTGAAGGTCTCCGCCTGGAGCACAGAAGTAAGTGGCTCTCAAATGCTTGCCTGGAAGCTGCTGCAGTTCTCCAGTACCTTTGCAGAGCTCCCACAGCTATCCCAGTCTGCAGTGGTTTTCACAAATTTGCTGGGAAACTGCTGTGACTTCTTCATCTACCCTCACATCTGCCTGCAGTTAACTCTGGAGAATTTCTTCTGCCTCTCTGTGCTCTTTCCAAGTCTCCTCTGAATTCCTCACAGTAGGAAACTGTAACCCAGATCATATAAAGGAGATTTTGGGAAACAGTTCCCAGCCTTAGAAGGAAATGTAGACAACCTGTTATAGTAGGCCACATATATTCCAAGCACTTTATGAGTGCTTTGCAATCTTTTTATTTAATCCTCCTGGCCACTCTATGATGTAAGTATCATTCACATTTAGTAGATGGTCCTATTGAATGTTAAAGTGATGGCCTTGCCCAAAGTCTTACAGCTAGTAAGTAGAAGATGATTTTAAAAAGTGTCCCTCTGATTTCAAAGCTTTGGTGTCTAATCACTACCTTATCCTGTCTTCTATTGCATTTCATTTACATTAGTAATATTATTAATATTAGTTAAGTATGAATTAAATCCTCCATTGGTGGCAGTTAATATATTTTGTTTGCAACTTTAATGCCCCAAATTTAAGCTTGTAAGTGCAAATTGATCACATTAAAATTAATACCTACATTTTATCAATCCCCAAGTCCTTAGCCTAAAATTTCTGCAAATGTTTTTGTTCCAAGACAGGAGTGCTATGACTTCCATTGTTGTTTCAATTTTTATGTTCCCACGGCCAACATCTCTCAGGGAATCCTTGGCTGAAGGAAGACTTGAATGTCACTGAAGCAGCAGATGAAGAGGGCGCCCCACACTATAGGCCTGATTCCTGGCTGAAAAGGGGGCAGGCAAGGTCATTAGTAGAAGAGGCCCAGGCAGGTCCTCTCCAAATCTTGCCAAAGTTCAGGGCAGCCACTGAGCTGTTGGCTTGAGCTCTGGGAGGGCTTTCGGCATTGAGCTGTAAGGCAGGGTCCGCTGCCTGGTCCTCAGAGCTGGGGAGCAACTCCACACGGTGGTTCCAGCATCCCCTTTGGGTCTGAGGCTAGAGTCTCGCGCAAGGTGGGCGGGGCAGGAGGAGTGGGTTTACGGCAAGGGGCAGGACTCGGGAGACACAGGGATCCCCTGATACACTGCAGCCAGCCTCGGGGCCACAGGGTTAGGGGGCGTCTTCAGGGTGTGTCCTGGTTCCCGGACTCCGGGGAGGTCTACATCCCGGGACAGGCTTGGGACGGAGTCCAACGAGTGGCGTCGGTGGCTCTCCTTTGGGGAAGTTGCGGAGGTGACTGCATCCCGGGGCAGGTAAAGGCGTTGTTACTCAAGGACTCCGCTCTCTAGGCGCTCGGGCGCTGTTAGGGCTCCGGGGTAGGCGGGTGGGTACCTCCACGACGCCGGTCGGTCGGGGATCGCGCGCTAGCCCTTGTGTCTGCGCCTGCGCAGAGCCGCCGTCGCGGCAGAGCGGGAAGTCTCGAGCTTGGCCCGGGTGCCAGCGCTGTGGGCGCTCGTCTGCGGGCTCTGTTAGCTGACATCCAATCCAGCACGGTCCACAGGTGGCCGATGTCGTGTGGACGGCCAGGCGCATTGTCTCCATCTTGGTTAGGTTCTAGCACCCAGGGAATTTCATGTCACAGTTCTTGCGCCGATGGTAAGAATTGTAGATAATCCTCCTCTCCCTCCCCGGAAGTTCAGCCTCCTTACCTGACACCCGTGGCTGTTCTGGAGTACTTTTTGCCATATGTGAATGATCCCTGTGAAACTTTTCAGCAGTGGGGTTTCTGTTGCCAACCCAACATTCTAGCTGCAGGACTCCCCTCTCATTTCCCCAGTCTATCTGCCCTAAAGTTGTGTCTCTGTGTATATAAATCTTTGGGGGGGGGGTGTCGTGGTGGTGGAAATCAACCTTTTTATTACCAAGAGCATCTTTGCAAATCTGAGGATTTAAATTTTCACATCTGGAAAAGAGGTTTCTGTCCAGTTCAAATCCTCAAAATTATTCACGTCCAAATGCTGGTGGATACCTGGATTGAGTGAGTCAGGATAATTTCTCTTATAAACACAATAATCTAAAGCTATACTGTTGTACAGTCAAGGTACCCAACATACCCTACTGCAAACTATTTTCATTTTATTTATGACTGAATTTGTCCTGTGTTGTTAATATATATTCATTAATGGAATATAAGGATATCCAAAATTAATTACTAGACTAATGGTATTTTTAAAATTTAACAGTGATTACTTGGTTTATTATGAGTATAGACATTGTCTAAAGACAATACAGGAACACTTCAGTTTATTTTAAAAGAAAGAAAATACCCACAGAAACTTTCCATCTAATTTGAAAGGTAAAAAGAACTGCATGAGATCTTCAGAGGTTTCAGATTAGAAATTGCTATGGCTTTAAAACCTTATTATCTGACCTGATTTTGCTTTATCTGAGTGCCCAGGCCTTCTGTGACAAGAGTAATCTAGTTGGTTCTTCTATTTATTTTTCTATTTTTTTTGGTAACATACAGTGAATTTAAATAGAATAAAATACATCTTTTCTACAGAAGTAATATCCAAAATGTTTTAAATTGCGTTCCACTGATGTATAATTGGGGTTTAATTGAACCCTGCATTGTTTTAACCACAGTATAGGAATGATTTCTTTAGTTATAACTAATAGTTGAGATCTTAAAAAACAGAAATAAAGAAGACCTGTGCCAACTGGTTGTTTGCTTCTTTTTCAGAATATAAAAAAAAAATCACATTTGTCCAATAAATATTTTGCCACACAGTGTTTTTGTGTTAGAAATCCTTTGCTCTTTTTAGTTCCAACTCTGTGTTCAATCTGCACATTTGAGATACCTTGAATTGTTTTATCCATGTCTTTGAGAGCACCTTGGAATCTTGTCATCTACAAAGTCCGTTTAACCTCTACTCAGATAAATCTGTGTATTTCTAGACTGTTAGAAATGTCAGCAAATATACCTGAGATATCATGACAGCAGTTTCTTGTATAGGAATTTTGAAGAGTGTATTTTGCTGGGCTAAGAAATCTATGAATGCTTTAATTGTTGTTTATTAGGACATTAAGGGACTTTAATTACTAATATTTACCTGGGATCAGTAAACCAAGAATTAATTAATTAATCCATTCATTCATTCAGTACCATCTATGAGCTATGAAGAGTTCCAGGCCCTAGGGAGAGAGTAGAGATCAAACCAGGCCAGCCCATGTTCTTAGTGCTGTATTAGAGGATGAGCAGAGGCAGGTACAAAAAGTTGAGCAAATATTTAATGAGATGATTCTGGAGAGTACTAAATCCTACAAAGAAAATAAGATAGTAAAGTGATAAAGACTTACGAAGATTCATTAGGGTAAGCCTCTCTTAAGATATCATTAGAGACAAATGATGACAAGCCAGCCATGTGAACTTCTGAGAGAAGAGCATTCAAGGCAAAGGAAATAGGCCACCAACAAAAAAAGACAATGGAATGGGGGAATTTCCGCTATTCCTTCTGTTACCACTCCTAATACCTGATTTTCTGGCCCACTCATAAGACCATTGCCTCTCACAGAATCTAAACTTAAAATGATAATAGACAGACTAGAATTCTCGGCTAAAACTAGCAAAGTGAAACGTGATTGATATGAACGTACAATGGTGCTTACAAGTTCATAAACCTAGTTACACAGCACAAAATGATATCCACGTGGCTTGGCAGCTGTTCATCTGAGAACAATCTGGGGATTCTAACTGACCACAAATTGGAGCTTGCTCTTTGCTGTTCCTTCCTGGAAGAAAACAATGTATAGATATTACCCTCAGGCAGCTTTCCACTCAATTTAAGGCATCATTATAGCTGTCCAAAAATGGAACAGGCTGCTTCAGCAGGTGGAGAAATCTTCATTGCTTAACTCATTAAAAAGTAAAAAAGAAAAAAAGAATGAATACCCATCAGAGCTTTTGGAAAAAGTAAATTTTCTATTGTTTGGAGACTAGTTTAAGACACTTTTTGGTTTCTGTGAGTCTGTGCCTTGTTAACTTGTTTCATTCCAACAAAATTTTCTTCATTTGGGGATATATATATAAATGGTTAAGAAGGAAAATAACATTGGTAAACCAAGGTTTACCAAAAGTTTAGTTTGTAATGGCATTTCTCAAAATAGTAATTTGAAGTTTAAAATTCTTGGGCTATAGTTTTTAAAAGAATTTAGATCAAAGTTCTAGTATTTCTTTGGCCAAGTAGAATAATAAAAATAAATATAAGTAAGTATATTTTGGCTTTGCATGTGTTAGCTGTATAACATAGTTTACATTTCTGCACCTTACTTTCCTCACAAAGAGGACAATAACTTGTACCTGCCTTAAAAGATTATTATTAGGATTAAATCATTTGCTGTATGTAAAGCAGTTAGAGCAGTGCCTGGCATTAGTAAGTGCTATGTAAGTGTTCACTATTATTATATAAATGTTTGCTCTATTCTGCCTTCAGGAATTAATGACCAAATTAATAACTGAAACACCTGACCAGCCAATCCCATTTCTCATTGACCATCTTCAGTCTAAACAAGGAAACCGCGGACAACTTCAAAGAACTTTATCTGGATCTGCAGCTCTCTGGGCAGAAAGTGAAACATCAGGTAAGTGCAAAAGTATATTTTACAGTTGATTTTTATATATTTAATGTAAAAATGTACAGAGGTCTTTTTGATTATAATAAGATAAATGTAGATGGTTACCAAGGGTTTCATGTATTCATTTGCAACTTCACTCATATGCTAAAATTTCACTCATGTGTGGAATTTAAGAGAAAAAACTAATGGACAAATAAAAAAGGAGACAAACAAAAAAGACTCTTAAATACAGAGAACACACTGTTGGTTGCCAGAAGGGAGGTGGGGGGTGGGTTGGGGGAATAGAAGGTATAGATAAAAGAGATCAAGAGTATACTTAGCTTGATGACCACTAGTAATGTATAGAATTGTTGAATCATTATATTGTGCACCTGAAATTAATATAACACTATATGTGAATTATATTCCAAAAAAGAAAAAAAATTGTCATAAAATATTCTTGAATTTGAATATATTGTTATATATTATGCTATATATTATGCTTCAAAATATGAGAATCTGTGTTCAATTTTAATAGAAGATTCAGATTTGCAAAAAAAAGATTTCATTCTGTGTGAATTCAAACTAATTATTCTAAACATTTCTTTTCGTGAAGACTTTGAATTAAATGATTATAGCTTACCTATAGAAAGGTAAAAAAAGATTTTAAAAAAGTTACCTTTCACTTTGCCCAAACTAATGATTATTCTCTATTTCCTGTGGTGCCTATTTTTATGTTATGTAGTAAGTTTAACTTTAGGAAGATTCATTTACTCTGGACATTGGGGAACAAACCTTACCAAGTCTGCAATAGCCTTATCTCCCCAATAAGCATTGGTTAAGATAATTGGGTAGACCCGACTTTGATCTTTGTTTATGGTTTGTGTGTCTGACAGCTTTTTTATTCTACATACTGGTTTGTTGGTTTGACATTTACTTCTAAAACCAAATCTCCTATGCCTGTTATGTCAATAGCCAACTCCTTGCCTAATTCCCATGGGAATCTGACTGACAGGACTCCAAATGCATTCCTGACATCTTCACTTTTCTTATCCTTTTCATGCTTTATGAAATCCCCTGAAAGGATTTTGGTCTTCTTTGGCTATATTCTCATACTGGTACCTTCTTGAGACCATGTCTCAAAGCCATACTAAAGTGGGTAGGGAATTAGAGTATCCTCTGAAAGAATGTAGAGCTCTCTGCTGGCAGTTATCCATATAGAAGATATCTGCATTATACAGGAAACTAGGATACAAACTTTTGGCATATAAAAGAGAACTCTTGCATTTTCCTGGCCTCATTTTCTTGGGTTTAGATTCTAAATAGCATGGGTATATAGGCATGAACTCTGGTTTGTAGGTACAAAGATGGCTCCCATCATGTAAAGGCACACCATATGAAATCGGTGAGCCGATGAAGCTCATATGAGCCCGTGTTTATAAATTATATTATCTGGAGAGATAGTAGTATGTTAAACTCTGTACTTTTAATCATCACATATTTAGTATCTCATACTTTGCATGGGCCAGAAGTCTGTACCTACCACAACTAGATCCCCTGTCTAATCTCATAAGCATGAAAATCAAGGTATCAGCTGGGTTGCAGTCTCATCTGGAGGCTGGAATAAGAAAGAACCTGCTTCCAAACTCATTCAGATTGTTAGCAGCATTAATTTCCTTGCAGCTGTATGACTGAGGTTCCTGTTTTCATGCTGGATTTTAGCCCGGGGTTGCTGTCAACTCCTAGATGCAATCCACAGTTCCTGGCCACATGGCTCTTTCACATCATGGCAGCTTACTTCTTTAAAGTCAGCAAGGGAATTTCTGTCATTCAAGTCTACTTAGCATATATAAAATAACATAATCATAGCATTGACATCCCATCACCTTTACCATATTCTGTTGGTTTGAAGCAAGTCAAAGGTCCTATCTACTACACTTAAGGGGAGGGGAATTATATAAGATATAATGTCAGGGGCAGAGATCATGGGGATCATCTTAGAATTCTGAGTAGCACAAGTACTGATGACTTAACTACTTGGAGAGGGTGAAGGAGGGGAGGAGAGTATTATAACTTCCAATTTACTGACTTGGGTAATGGCATAAATGCTTATTTAACAAAGCAAGATGGGAACAGAGGACAATAATAAGTCCACTTCCTATTGATGACTGAGTTTTTGTGAGACATCATAGTAAATAATTCCAGCAGGCAGTTAGATATGAGTCTAAAACTCTGGGGCTGGGTCAAGGCAGGAGTCACAGAGTGGCATTTAGTATCATACATATAATCGTTAAAGTTACGAGAGTGAAAGAATGGAAGTTGTGGTAAAATTTGCCATTAGAGTGGGAGATGGACTGGGGCAAAGCAAGTGTGAGATTATATCTGATGCCTGAAATTTTGTCTTTTTATTAAGAAGTGAGGTTGTTTGCTGAGAACAAGAGGATTGGGAATTGAAGAGGGGAGATTGTAGTGATGCCAATTGTGAAAAGTCACCAAGGAAAAGGAGAAAATAGTTGGCAAAAGGAAAAAAAAAAAAAGACTGTGAGGCAGTTCTTGGTCCTCTCTGAAGTTGAAGACATGAATGACTCTTAGAAACCATGAGACAGTTGTGATTTTCTCCAACAGTGCCCGGAAGCAGTGGGAAGGGAGCAGAGCCAACAGTTTGAGGGACTGAGTGAGAACTGTGGTTGTGGCATGGCAAGGGTAGAGGGCGCAAGAACAGTTTTGCGAAGCAGTCGAGGACATTTGTGAGGAATTTTATTCAAGTGATCAAAGCACCTGGTCTGGTATGAGAGGGTAGTGAGCAAGGATAGGAAAAGAATTAGACAAAAAAGCAAATCAGAGAGCTGAAGATAAAGACCTTTAGAAGGCTGATGCAGGGGTAGGTGCAGTGAAAATATGAGAGAGATTAGAAGGAAGGAAATTGTGATATTTGAGATCAAGACTTCTGAGGTGGAGTGAGTCCAGGTGATGAGAAGGTCCTGTTGGTAGCCTTAGTTGTGGGGTATCTTAATTATCAAGGAAGTGAAGCTTCTCAGAGTTAGGGAGGACAAGGAAGAATGAGACTTAATGCATGATTAGTCTGACTATTAAGAAGATGAAACCAGAGTTGCATTCAAGTTGTTGAAAAGTCAAGGGAGACTGTGCCAATGTCTTGAGTTGGGCTGTGGAGTAATAAGGAGCAGTGATGGCAACAGTGAGGAGCAGTGATTAGTGTAGACAGGCAGCATTTACCACCAGAGTGGAGGGACTTCCAGCTTAATGGTGTTGGGTCAGGAAAACCCAGCCTGTGGCCAGTACCACGTAGGGAAATGAACCCTCCGTCCCAGGAAGCTGCAGAGGAGGGAGCGCTCTTGTGGGAAGAGTGAGGTCTCTTAAAACACGAAAGGTCTCTTAAAACATGAAACAAGAAAGGTTTCTTAAAACAAACACTCTTCTATCCTTAAGATAGAAGAGTGTTTGTTTACTGTGGAATGTATGTCCCAGAAGGTGAAGGGGCAAAATTTTAGAGAGAAAGAGTATGACAGGAGGGAGAAGAAAAGCATAGGATAATTCTTGGATATGAATATAAGTGATGAAGTTATAATTTGTGTGATAGTAAATAATGCCAGTTTACACCTTGACTGCAATTTTTAGTTGTTTTTTCTGGTGCATGTTCTGATTAGCTAGAAATTATCTCAGTATTCAAAGTGTTTTGGTATAATATCTTTTGAAAATATCTTAAGTTGTCTTCTTATTCCCGTCAAATGTATCTAGCAACTCAGGACACAGCATCATCTAAAAGTCTGTCATTTAATATTACTGTGCAGAAACCTGAAGCCTTCCTTATTTTTATGTCTTTTTAGATATCTAATTATTTTTCTTAAATACTTACAGGATTTGTTTTTTCTTTCTGATATTGACGAGTTTTACTGGGAATATATCCCAATGATTATCTTTTTTCTTTAAATTTTTTTCTTATATTCAGTGAATCTTTTCAATCAGCAAATCCAGGTCTTCAGCCTAAAACTGTTTTCCTCTTGTGTACTTAGTTATTGCTTCTATTATATTTGTTTTCAATTTCTTCTTTGGGAAAATCAGCTATGTGTAAATTGACTTTGCCTTGCTGTTCTTCATTCCTCTCATTTCATTTCACATTATATTTGCCTTTCTTTATTGACTAACTTCTGGGGAGATTTGTCAAGTGTGCTCTCTGTGTCACTGATTCAATTTTCTGCAGTATCAGTTTTCTCTCTCTGTCTTTGAAAACAAATTTAAATGTTGATACTGCATTTTGGTTTATTGTCAATATTTCCTTATCTTCTTTATTCATTTCTGTCTGCAGTTATATTTTATTGTAGGTTAGTTGGTTAACTTATCTCCTTTCACATTTCTTTTTGTTTCATAGAATCCATTTTCTTTATTTTTTTTAAGAAGGCAATTAGCCACATTCTAAAATTTAAAGGTTTTTCAGAGTAAATCTTCTCTAAAACTATGAATTTTCTTTGTATCTTGAATGCTGTGTTCTTGCTTTTCATATTGAAATTTTTTTAGAATGATATTTTTTCCATTTATTCAAATTTAAATGAGGAGTATTCTATCTAGTTTTACATTTGTCAGTTAATACTATAGGTGGACTCTTTGTCCCCTCAACGTATAGCTCAGGACAATTTGGATCCCTTTCAAGAATTTTAGAGAGACAGAAGAAATCATGACTGCTACTAAAATTACATTATCAGTTGAATCCTATGGATCTCTCCTATGTTCATGAGTAACTTTGTCTCATCTTGTTTTCAACCAACTAAATAAGAACAGTATCATTGCTAGATTATTTAAATTAATGTGGATTTTTCTCCTTACCTAGAGTGGAAAAGTTAAAAAGCCACAAAATCCAGTATGCTATTCCTCCCTTGTTCTTTTTAGTCTTTTTCTTTGCATCATGAAATGCTCTGTTTTATGATCAGGATTCTTTGTTCCTTTAGCCATTTTGCATTAGAAGATATTATGGTCCTAGGATGGATGTGGAAAGACAGATTCTCATAGAAGAACAGAAACAGATGACTTTGATATAGGGGCAAGTATCATGGATGCCTAGAAATCTTCCAGTCCTTTTCTGATTTACCTATCTTGTGTCTTATTCCTATCTGTGGAAATATGTCCTGCATTCTGGCAGACCACAGACTGATATTTCTATTCCTAGAGTTTTAGAATATTTATGCCTCTTTTGGTATTGAATGGCGTGTTGGAGGTAGTAAAATTAGGTAACAGCTAGTTTTGCACAACCTTCAAATATAAATTTGAGGAATCCATATAATGTTTCATGATGTCTATTTGGTATTTACAAGTGGGTGGCTAGAGAAAGATTGATGAGTCATTCATAAAGCTAGAATAATTCAACAACTTATAAATTTAAACAGGAAGGCAGAAGGAAACTCTAAGGAATGTCACATAGATGAAAGAGGAAGATGAAGAAGCAGTGAATGAGACAGAGAAGGAAGAGTCAAATAGGTGATATGGAGATGAGGAGAATGTAGGGCCCTGAGGATAAGAGAAGAAAATATTCCACAAACATAGGCCTGTCTAAAAATATGAAATTCTTGGCAAAGATGTCAAGAGGGGTGAACTCTTGGAAAGATCATTTAATTTGGGAATTAGTATGACTTTGACCACATTTGAAGGGGAGCTATAATTTTCAACAAAGTTGGTTGAATTACCCTTTCTTGGATAGAGAAGTGGAAAAAATGAGTGATGCTGGGGAAGGAATGTAGATGACCGTCAGTGGTTTAACGTGTCTTATAGTGAATAATGGATAAGGTAAAATCAGATGAGTAAAATTTACAAAATGTTTAGTTGTTTTTATTTATTTTTATTTTTATTTTAAAGATTTACCTATTTACCTTAGAGAAATTGAGAGAGAGAGAGTGGGGGGAGGGACAGAGGCAGAGAATCTTTAAGCAGACTCCCCGCTGAGTGCAGAGCCCAGCACTGGCCCAGTCCCACCACCCATGAGATCATGACCTGAGCTGAAATCAAGAGTCGATTCCCTGATGGACTGAGCCACCCAGGAGCCCCAGTTGTTTTCATTTACATTAGAATACAGTGCTTTATTCCATAATACCCATTTAAAGAATGTTATTTTAAGTAATGGTAATCCATGCCTTAAAGAGTCTTTCCAGAAGCCTTTCACAGTTTAAAATGATCTTAATCATATTAATATACAAATTGAATCATATCAAATCCAAAACTAAAATTTACATGGGAAATTAAGCAAGAAATACTTTTGAATATTTGCATTATTTTTGATGTGTGACGTATAGCTTTTGCCAGGCCTATCTAATGACTTCATGGATTTAGTTTTTGGTCAATCTTGAAATCACTTATTGTTCAGTTTATATATATATTGTTTTTTGTTTGTCTTAACAGAACATAAAGGAACAAGAAGGGATTTCAGAAGTTATGATAAGCCTTGGCAATTAAATGCAAAGAAGCCTAAAAAGTCAAAAAGTGACCTTGCTATGTCTAACATTTCTCCACCATCACCAGAATCCAAATCATGTAAGGAATTTTGTCATTCAAATGTTACTTAATATATGTAAGTATGTGTTACTAACAAAATGAACAAAAGGTAAGAATTGGAGTCAAACTTTTTATCTGATATTTCTGACTATTAATCCTAATGAATGTTGTGTTCATTTCAGCAGTAACATTGAGCTTTATTTATATATATCTACTCACTCATATTCTCAAGCATGTTTAATTGATTTAGACCTTCTGGAGTATATTCTTTTAAGAACGTAAGCTGCCTGGAGCAGGTTCCTTGCCTGTCACGTTCAGTTGCAGCCTTGTATCACATTCAAAGCAAAACTAGCCCTACATTTAATAAAGTACATAAAAGCAAATTAAATCTTTTAGAGGGGAATCAAAGGAGATTTATATTAAAAAAATTAACAAAATTTAAATTCTTAATCCTTCTCTCTTCTTTTAGCCCCCTCAAATTCTACTCCTCAGAAATAGTTTATAATTTTCACATCCTTTGAAATAGTTTGCATCTTTTTACATCCTTTTCTTTGTACAAGCTAGCATATAAAATATGTGTGAGTTGATTTGCTTTATAAAATGGCTTTAGACTATACACATGCTTGAGCAATTTGTTTTTATTATTTTAGAATGTGCTGTGGATATATCTCCATGCTAAACTTAGATCTAAGTTACACTACTTAATAAGTACATACTGTAGCATGCTGTGAATGTGCCATAATTTATTTATTACCCTGTGGAAGAACAGTTGGATTGATTACAGAGTTTTGCCTCCATAAACTATTAACTGAAATAAACGAATATCTTGCAATTTCTGATAAAATAAACAACTTTGTACATATCTACATAATTATATGTGTTCTCATTTCTTTATGATAATTTACCAGACATAAGATTGTGGGGTCAGAGAATCAGCATATTTTTATTATAGTAAATATTTCCAATTACTTTTTTAAAACGTGACAGAAAAAATATTTCAGTAGTCTGAGCTCGCCTTTGCTATAGCATTACCATATAAATATTTAAAAATTATTTTATTTTAATCAAAACAAAAAATATATGGTTTGAGAACTAAAGTAGTATTATAGGCTTCTAATGTGGAGTCACTTTTAATTCTTTTAGATGTTCCTTTTGGTACACAAGTTTACATATCCAAACATACAAGTTATTTACATAGTTCCCTTTTACATTTTAAATTTGAGGCATCATCTCTTGACCTCCTTCTAAGACCTTGTGGTTTCATACCTCAGGCCCATTTTGTTCTCACAGTACAATCATGCAAGTATTTCAAATGTTGAATATATATCCCACAACGTTGTTATGACTGCATTAATTAGCCATAATTTCACAGTAGAGCCATAGATGTCCAACTATTAATTTGTTTCTAGAACTAATAATTGTCTTGTTTTTCTATTTGCTTTGTTTTCTGTGTACCCCTCACTGTTTCACTAAACCTTGCCTTAAAGTATTCAGCACTCAATATGATCAAATACATCAAGTAATTCTAACTTTGATCTTATTTTATTTTATATTTCATTTCATTAAAAAAAATTACAGACCTCTCTTCTGTAGCCCTTTGTCTTTTTGCTCTAATCTTGGCTTCTTGGTTTCTAGCCTTTTTCTCAACTGTCTTCTGAGACCATCCTTCACTGCGATCCTGAGGATTCTCTTTTCCTTCTTCTTGTGGAGGACCATCTGTCTCCTGAATCCCAAGTCTTTCCGCTTTTAGGTTTATTTATTCATTTTGGTGGAGTATCTCCACTACAAGCTTTCTGAACAAGAATGATTGCAAGATAAATGTTTGAATCCTTATAAGTAACTTGATTGGTTCCTTAGTTGGGAATAAAATTCTAACTTAGAACTAATTTTCAGTTGGAATTTTGAAGGAATTTCCCCTGTGTCTTCTGGGGCAAGTATGGCTATTAAAAAGTCTGACAAGAACTTGATTGCTGTTTCTGTCCCTGAAAGCTTTTAGGATCTTTTCTTTTTTGCCACTGTTGTAAAATTTTGCATTGTTTTGGACATTTAATGGCTCCTTCCAGTCTGAGAAATGGGTTTTTTATATCCTTATTATTTTGACATTTGTCCTCCTTGATTGATGCTTGAGTGTTGAAATGTTATGAAATATCCGCCTTTTGGGGCATCTCTCTCTCCTCAGGGACTAGATTTCAGTATTTTCTACTTTGCTAGATACAGTTAACCACTCCTCAATTTATACTGCATCTTCAAAAAAAAAAAAAAGATTTGCTATTTCTTGCCTAATAATGTCTTCTCTTCTTGTTCGACTAATTATTTGACCCAAAAAATATTTAATATAATTTTAGTAGGAATTTGGGGGAAGTGAAGGTAGATGTGTTCTGTCTTCTGTTTTATCAGAAGATAGCAAAATGTCTTAAAAATATATACTAATTGCTGATGAAGAAATTAGTAATTTTTAAGCTGCTAGATGATATAAAATATAATTTGCTTGTATGTTTTCCCCTAAGTTATAGAAATCATTAATTGTAAATCAGTGCCTGAACTCTCTTTTTTCTATAAACAGTCACACTTCCCTTTACTAGTTCAGTTAAAACATTTCTTAAAACCCAGCTTCATAACTTCCCTCTGTTTGCTCATAAGAAAACTATTTCCAAAACAAACACTTTTATTCTGTACATTGATCTTGATACAATCTTTCACATAATGATGAATAGTAAATTTTTATCATTATGTAGCATGCTTATGAAGTAATCATTTTTTTTAAAACATAGTGCCAAGGTCAGTAGATCATCCTAAGTGGAACTGGCGAATTAAACCAGAAAGCCGTGATTTTGATGAATTGAACCACATCCTTCAAGAGAGCAAGAAGCTGGGAAAAGCCCTTGAGAATCTCTCTCGAAGTAAGTTCATTTACTTGATTATAATTGAAATTCCTAACCAATATTAAAGTAGAAACATTTATTACTATTGCCAGTAACCCATTTCCAACATCCTCATTATAATTACGTGAGAGGTTGTAAGAGTGTGTATGAGATCGGAAATGAGGATTGATCTTGCCTTTTCCACACATTCCTGGGAAGACAAGTATAGAGAGTAGGAGGAATTGTAGATACCACCCCTGCCCCACCCTGTCCCTTGCCCTTGCTATTTGACTCCAGTCTCTCTACAAGGTCTCTGTCACCCAGGTCAGCTGCACACATATAATGGTATCTTACTCATTCTTCTCTTTTGAACCTGATGGTTTTGTGTCATCCTAAATAGTAAAGACGCCTATTGCCTCCATGAGTTTTTGATGTCTCTAAACTTTTTAAAAAAATTCTTTATTTAAATTCATTTAGTTATATATCGTGTATTATTATTAGTTTCAGTGGTAGAGTTCAGTGATTCATCAGTTGCATTTAACACCCAGTGCTTATTATATCAAGTGCCCTCCTTAATGCCCATCTCCCAGTTACCCCATCCCCCCACCCACCTCCCCTCCAACAAACCTGTTTGTTTCTTTTTTTTTTTTAAAAAGATTTATTTATTTATTTATTTGACAGAAAGAGAGAGAGCAAAAGCATGAGCAGGGGGGAGGGGCAGAGGCAGAGGGAGAAGCAGATGACCTGTTGAGCAGGGAGCCCGATGTGGGACTCAGTCCTAGGACCCTGGGATCATGACCTGAGCTGAAGGCAGACGCTTAACTGACTGAGTCACCCACGCGCCTCTCAGTTTGTTTCTTACAGTTAAAAGTCTCTTGTGGTTTTCCCCCCTCTCTGTTTTTATCGTATTTTATTTTTCTTTCCCTTCCCCATGTTCATCTGTTTTGTTTCTTAAATTCCACATATGAGTGAAGTCATATGGTATTTTTCTTTCTCTGATTGACTTATTTCACTTAGCATAATACCCTCTAGTTCCATCCATTTCATTACAAATGGCAAGATTTCATTCTTTTTTATGGCTGAGTAATATTCCTGTGTGTGTGTGTGTGTGTGTGTGTGTGTGTGTGTGTGTGTGTTTACACCACACCGTGTTTATCCATTCATCTGTCAGTGGACATCTGGGCTCTTTCCACACTTTGGCTGTCGTGGACATTGCTGCTGTAAACATTGGGGTGCATGTGCCCCTTGGAATCACTATTTTTGTATCCTTTGGATAAATATCTAATAGTACAATTGCGGGGTCATAGGGTAGTTATATTTTTAACTTTTTGAGAAACCTCCATACTGTTTTCCAGAGCGGCTGCCCCAGTTTGCATTCCCACCAACAGTGTAGGAGGTTTCCCCTTTCTCTGCATCCTTGCCAACATCTATCATTTCCTGACTTGTTAATTTTAGCCATTCTGACTGTTGTGAGGTGGTATCTCATTGTGGTTTTGATTTGTATTTCCCCTGATGCCATTGATGTCTCTAAACTTCTAAGGGTAGCAACTGGGGCAGATTCTTCTTAAAATCCTTTCAGAACCTAGCAACATACTTTTTTGTAAAAACAATGATTCTGTAATCCAAGGCCAAGGTTATAGGTTTTGCTCTGCCACTTATTAATAACCTCAAGTAAATCATTAAACTTCCAATGAACCTTGGTCCTCTCATCTCCAGAGAAGAAAGACATGATTCTGTCTCCTTTTTCTGGTAGGTGTGAAAGTTTAAAATGATATATTTCAAGTAAAAACTTTTAAATATTACTGTCATGAGAGTAGACAATCAAATATTTGATAAATGCATTCTATATATTTAGACATACATATATACCTTATGGTTTTAGTAGTGAGTTCAGAGTATTCCTATCTATCTCTGATTCTGAAATAACTCTCTATTTTAAAATTAGATACCTTTAGAAGCACATTAATGCCATGACCTCACTAAAATTTTCTTTTGCTGTCATGAAATATTAAAAATTCTTAAATAGAAAATAAGATACTAGCACGTTCTAGTGGATTATATTTTAAGATCTATATGTTTCTTTAGATAGCACAGTTTTACGAGTTTCATGATGTATCAGAGTTAAAATTGCCTTGCGGGGGATGAACACACTGGGTGAAGGGGAGTGGAAAATATAGGCTTCCAGTTATGGAATGAATAAGGGATTAAAAGGCACAGCATAGGGAACTGAAAAAAAAATTGCCCCTTTGTATATTTTGGGAGAAATAATGTAGATATCATATGTATATATAATATATGTGTATTTGCATATTGTATTATACTGTAATTATATATATTTACACCTTACATTTTATTATATTATAATTTTATATATAGAAAGAGATTGAGTTTTTTCATAACTCTTAATGCATAACTCACTAGAACTTTTGTGTGGTAAACCCATGTCACAAGTTAATTTGCCTTATGATAGGATCATATAATTTTTGAATTAAGTTTTTAATTTTAATTCCAGTATAGTTAACATGTAGTATTATATTAGTTTCAGGTGTATAATATAGTGATTCAACAGTTTTATACATTACTCAGTGCTCTTCATGATACGTGTATTTTTTAATCCCCATCACCTATTTTACCTACCACCTCCCTGTGGTAACTGTCAGCTTGTTCTCTATAATAAAGAGTCTGTTTCTTGGCTTGCCTCTCTCTTTTATCTCTATGTTCATTTGTTTCTTAAATTCTACATATGAATGAAATCATTTGGTATTTGTCTTTGTCTGACTTACTCATTTCACTTAGCCTTATACTCTTTAATTCCATCCATGTTGTTGCAAATGGCAAGATTTCATTCTTTTTTATGACTGAATAGTATTCCATTGTATGTATACACCACATCTTCTTTATCTATTCATCTACCAGTGGATACGTGGGCTACTTCTATAATTTGGCTGTGGCAAATAATGCTGCAATAAACATAGGGATGTATGTATCTTTTTGAATATGTGTTTTCATATTCTTTGGGTAAATACTCAGTAGTGGGATTGCTGGATCATATTGCAATTCTACTTTTAATTTTTTGAAGAACCTCCGTATTGTTTTCCACAGTGGCTGAGCCAGTTTGCATTCCCACCAACAGTGCACAAGGGTTCCTTTTTCTGCACACCCTCGCTGACACTTGTTGTTTCTTGTGTTTTTGATGTTAGCCCTTCTGACAGGCATGAGGTGATATTTCATTGTAGTTTTGACTTGCACTTCCCTGATGATGAGTGATGTTGAGCACCTTTCCATGTGTCTGTTTGGCCATCTGGATGTCTTCTTAGGAGAAATACCTGTTCCTGTCTTCTGCCCATTTTTAATTGGATTATTTGTTTTTAGGGGACTGAGTTCTATAAGTTCTTTATAGATTTTGATTACTAACCTTTTGTCAGATAAGTCATTTGCAAATACCTTCTCCCATTCTGTAGGTTGCCTTTTAGTTTTGTTGATTGTTTCCTTTGCTGTGCAGAAGCTTTTAATTTTAGTGTAGTCCCAATAGTTTATTTTTGCTTTTGCTTCCCTTGCCTCAGGGGACCTATCTAGAAAAAGTTGCTACAGCTGATGTCACAGAAGTTACTGCCTGTGCTCTCTTCTAGGATTTTTATGGTTTCAGGTTTCATATTTAGGTCTTAATCCATTTTGAGTTTATTTTTGTGTATGGTGTAAGAAAGTGGTCCACTTTCATTCTTCTGCATGTAGCTGTACAGTTTTCCCAGCACCATTTGTTGAGGAGACTTTTTCCTGGTGCATAGGATCTTATAATTTTGCCATTAGTAGACATCTTCTGGTTGGGATTCAAGAAGGCCCTACTTTTGGCTAGATTTACTTTTGGAAGAAATAATGATAAAATGAGTGCAGCTTATTACTATATTATGTTCATGAAATAAGTCTTATCCTATTAAATGTCAAAGGTTTATATTAATATGTATAAATCTTACCCCTTTGGGAAGAGCCTGTGGCTCCTTATAGCCTCTCAATTTATCTAAAAGCATGAGTTAAAAGAAAGATGATTGAAGAATATGCCCGATTATTACACAGATCTTCAAATAGAGTATTAGTAAATTTTTGTTCTTTAAAAAATATGATAATTGCCTTACAGAGACTTGTTATACCACTGTTAGCTGGTAAGAAAATATTTGGCCTGTACCTAAAACTTTTTAATAAAGGAGTTTGATTGCCTTTCACTTATGTATTTGCCAAAATGTGTAGCAGAAATGTCAAGGTTCAAATGATGGTCTGTCCCAAGAAAACCTAGGTGTGGCCTTATAGGTGGGACCTAGCAACTGATTCCTATGATCAGAAGTTAGTTAGGGGCTGTAACACGGGGCTCATTTAATTCTTGAAGGAAGTCTGGAGAAACAAAAATGGCCAGAGGGCAATCCTTGGTTGGGAGAGTAGAAGAGATGCAAATATGAGATATTATTCTTGGACAAAGTCAAGGCCAAGGAGGCTATCAGACGAGTCAGTAGCTTGACCAGAAATAAGGTGTAAAATTCAGGTCTATGTATATGATGGAGAGTTGCTTTTGGCTGCCCTTGATGGTTTTGAGGGGGCTCAATTTTTTGTGTGGCAGTAGTGGTGGGGTTTATGTGGGAATAAGGGAGCAGGTCTTCACATAGGGAGGGATTGCCTTTTTTCCCTTTAAGTTTTTTTGAGTCTCTTGGAACAAAATGCTGCTTTCTTGGAATGACTTGAGTTTCTGTGATTTTCACTATCTGAGGTTTAATACTAACTTTTTGTCTTAGGCCCAATATGTGACTAACTACCAAGTTATCATTTTGCCTGAGATGGCCAGGGTAAATTAGTAGAAATGCAGCTTTACCATTTACTGATGTTTATTTAGCAGTCTAGCTGCCCACTGTTTAACTATAATCACAAACTCAGTTCTTCTGTTGTCCTGAAGCAGGATGTCATTAGTTCTTGTTTGATCTTATAATAGCTTCAAGTTGGTAACTCTTTCTCTAATCTGACCTTTATCTCTAATCTCTATTATGAATTGTTTTATT